CCCCCCTCCTCAAGGAAAGCACCCCCAGAGTTGAAAATATTCTGGCACAACCAGAATGCAAAAACAACTGGATCAGGACCAGTGAGATTTACAGGGACCACTTGGCAGTGTTTAAAATCTAAAATCGAAAGCCTCTATGGTAGTCAAAAGACAGCATCGAGGCAGCGCTGAGAGGGGGAAAATGGCAGATTTCCCAAAACCTGGGTCAGGATGGGTTACACCCCTCTGCCAACTCTCTGCCATATAGTCCTTCCCCTCCAGTGCGATGCAGTTGAGATCTGAATGTCATTCACATTTGTTGAACATGCTTGCAAAACAATTCTTTACCAAAGAACCACCAAAAAAATCCATCTTCAAAAAATGTGATTCTTTTGCGTTTGCCTCGCTTCACTTCTATTCTCCATGATTCAGACCGAACGCAGTCGGGTCTGAAATCGTTTCCAGTGTGAACCAAGGCACATATAAACCGATCAACAAATCAGTTTAAATCATAGTGGGAATGAGCCCTATATAGGTCTATTTCTGTATTAGCAGAACAGTAAAAGGTACCACTGGAGGGGTTTTAAGGCAGTGTCCATCGTGATTAGCATGACATCAGCAGCAGAATTAGCATCGTCAAAGGTGAGACATTGTTTCACTCATTAGGCCATAATTGTCATCATCATCAATATAAAAATAACTTTGCATTTCTTGCACATAATCTAAGTCTAAAAGCTACTTGAATTTCATGGCAATTCTATCTTTGTTGTTGTCACGTACCTTCAAGTTATTTCTGACTTATGGCAACCCTAAGGCGAGCCTATGCTGGGGTTTTCTTGGCAAGATTTATTCAGAGGCCATTGCCTTTTCCTGAGGCTGAGAGGGTGTGACCTGGCCAAGGTCACCCAGTGTGTTTCCATGACTGAGCAGGGATTTGAACCCTGGTCTCCAGGAGTCTTCCAGTGCTCAAACCACTTCTCTAATACTACCTTTAGGCAGAGTGAGATGACAGCTTTAAGTTAGCTGATTTTTGGGAGGTATCATAAAAAGGTAGCAAATAATTCTTTAGCTTATTCATGTTGTATTTTGACATCCAGGGGAGTGGAGAGATGCTAGTGAGATTTTTGTTTTGTTCTGGGTACAAAATAACTTGACCACCTTTGAGTACTTTCCACCTCAGGCGGCAGCAAAGTGTTGTGGCTGACCTAAAATACAATCCTCTCTTTTCCAATGTTATTGGTATCATGAAAGTGCCATTACAAAGGATGTTATCACA